ACATAAGAAACAAATATTTCTATCTAAAATACTATGCCTCCAAAGTTGATCAACCATTTTGCCTTTAGCTGTATGATATTTTTCTAGTTTAAATAATTTTCATTTAGAAAGTAGATCAAAAAATACGTCTATATGCAAGCTTTCAAAAATGCATTAAATTATAAGGCAGTATATTATAAGCAAGACAAAAAAAAATAAGAAGTATATTTTATATAATATTTTTATAGTTTAGATCATTCTAATTTGTTCATGCTAACTATATATTCTTTTATTTTTGAGCTATTCTGGCAACTAGACTTTAACTTGATAATCTTTGTGACAATTTGTAAAAGAGTGAAGCTTAATAGTTTTTTTTTTGTTGGCAATTGTTAAAATTATGATTTATATTTTAGTAGGTTATTCTAATTCATTCATATTCTTTTATTTTTGAGCTATTTTAGCAAAGTGATGAACTTTGCAACAATTTGTAAAAGGGTAAGTTTAACAGTTCTTTTTTTTGTTGACAATTGTTAAAATTATGATTTATATTTTACTAGTATTTTATTATAATAGATATTTTTAAAAAAAAGAAATAGTAGGTACAATCTGAAAAGATCTGATATAATTGCTCTATTCTTCTGTTCTTAGAGCAAATCAAAATTTAAGTAAATATATCTTCTATAAGAACTTCAGTTTGTACAAGATCTAGCTAGAACTAAAAAAAAGATAATATTTATTTAAGATAAAATAATTTTTTATATATACTTTCTTCGATTTTTTGTAGTAGTAATACTATCAATATTGAACTTTAGTTAGCATTCAATGTGCAAGTAGTCCTAACAACTGTTTTACATTTGCCAACTGCTTCACTAGTTTCTTAACAAATTCTGTAAGCAATACTGAAGCATCTTTATAATATTCAAGCTGATTCAAAACTTGTTCTTCTTTATATATAGCTTTATGTTTTGAATGTTTCTTTTAAGGTGATATCTAAACTTTGAATTCAGTTTCAAATACCAAATGTGTATCTTCATTGTTAGTTTTAGATACCAAATATATGCCTTCAATATTAGTTTCATTAACCTCTATATGTGATTCTGAAGCTTGTAGAAAACTACTATTTATATTTTTTTTTATTTTTTGTTATTTTTATAGGTATAAGATCTCATTTATTTTTCTATTTTTTTGATCTGGTAGCAATATAGGTTTCTATTGCTTTGACTCCTAATTGGTAACAGGCAAATATCTGCTAGTAACCATTATTAGTTAATTGAGTAGTTTCTGTAAATAAAGTATATATCTCTAACTGCAGGTTGTTAAATTTTAATTTAAGATCAAAAATTAGATCTCAAAGAGCTTCTTTATAATTTTTAACGAACTATAGGTTTCTTCTTGTTGGCTAATCTTCAATAAACTCTGAAATTAACAAATCAAGTCTTTTATATTCTAACTGTGCTAATTTGATAACTAGTTTTAGATTATCAAGATTAGTTGCATGTCTAGTCATGTATTCTTTTACAAACTTCACACTGTCATATAAATTCCGAATATTCTATTGAGAATATCGGGAATTATGCTAGACTAGTACCGGAGGGACAGTATTTAAAAAGGAATTAGGTAAGTTGGGCGGTTTAATTGTGGATGAATTTTAATAATTAGAGTAGTTTGTATGAATTTTATTATGTGTTAAGACGAGATTGAGCGGGAATGTCTCTTCAAAGAGTAAAAAGACTTCCTTAAATACATTCGTTTTTCCTGTATTACTGCAGGCTTGATAGATGGTGTGGGTCACAGCTAGGTAGTCTAGTTTGCATAGACAGCTTGTTTTATGGGTCGCAGAGAATGCATAAACGGCTATGTGTTCCGAGTTATCATGGTGCACGATCATGTGCTATCGTGTAATGATCCCATGACCATGAATGCAATATTGCTATCTACCTACTCTAATCTATCTATATATATACTTAACTATTCTAAATACTAGCCTATTCTACTCTATATATGTACATATAACTAACTGTAAATATAATAAATAAAATAAATAAATAAATAAATAACTATAACAAATACTTAAAGAAATAAATAAAGCAAATGATAGTACTAAATAAATAAATAGATAGCTACAACCTATATTATAACCCAGAAAGAATCAATAAGGCTTAAAAAAAATATATATATATAACTAACTAACTAACTAACTAGTGTAATAATATATAATGATATACGATCGTTTTACTATTATAAGAAAATATTTAATTTTGTCACATTTCTCTCCTTAAGAAGCGAGGTCCTCTGAAGCATTAAATGAGTTCCTCATATCCCAGATAACGAAGTTTAGACTGGTCTGGGTATACGGTAAGAACCTGTTATTGTAGTCTTCATCGGTGAGACTGTCCAAAAAGTGTAGGGATATTTTCCAAGTTCGGTATATTTGTTCTGGATTTCCTCTGAATATCTCCAGAACTCATTTGGCTCCTCAATACAATCGCTATTCACACCTGAGGCCGTTACTCTCCACGTATTCCAGCCACTTAGCCTGGCTATTTTCGATTTTTAGCAATTCGCCTAGATAGTATGAATTTGCTAATAATCGAATGTGATGTTTGTCTTTCATAGCTTCTTGACACTCATAAACTACTTTACTTAGAGCCATCTTCTAAAGGTCGTTTGTGTCATAAGGTGGTAAGAATCTTAAAGGAGTCTGTTTCTCAAGCGAGTAGTAATTGATAACATTTTCAACGAGGTGGTTACGGGCCGATTGTTGCCTGGTCATGTGTGAGTGGGTCATTCTTTTTAATAATCGTTGATTATCTAATAGTGGCTGTGTTTTACTTTGAGTTCTCTTCCGGTTTTTTTTTTTTTTTTTTTTTTTTTTTGACTTTAATTTTCGTGGGTCACTTTTTTCGTTCTCTTCTTTATATTTTGGAGCCACTTTTCATTCATTAGTAATTATTTTTCTTCTTTCATACCATTACGATTGGCTCTCATAGTAGTCATTCGAAATATAGTTTAAGGCGATCTGCGTTAACCGGCCTTCTCAAGATCTTACCAGAATTAGTGGTACGAAGCTTATAGACGCCTGGTGCTGTTAGGTTGTGGATATAATAGAGACCTTTCCATTTTTCTCGAAACTTGTCCCCATGCACCTTAGCTTCTGCAGATCTGTACAGCAGTACTTTATCCCCGATATGGAACTTTGTATCCTTTACTTGCTTGTTGTATCTCTCTTTTTGTTTCTTCTGGCCTAGTTTGATATTTTCGCTTGCCTCTATTTGTACTTGTTGTAACCTTTCTGTAATATAGTCAATGTGGCTTTGAACTTGTAGGTCGTATAGATGGTCTGGGTTGTCTTTTTGGTTACTTTCTTGCAGTTCTATGGGCAGTACGGCTTCTTGTCTATACAATAATTAGAAAGATGTATATTTTGTCATGACCTGGGGCACCGTTTGGTAAGCAAATAGGGCAGCTTGTATGAATGAATCCCAGGACTCTTCGTAGTTACAGATATATTTGGCAAGGGTGTTACAGAGTATCTTATTGAACCTCTGTAAATCCATTCGTCTGGAGATGGTAGGCTGAAGCTAACCTATGCCGAACTCCAATTAATTGACATAGGGCGTCAACCACTTCATTGCAAAAGGGAGTACCTTGGTCGGATAAGAGTTCTTTTGGGCAACTATGACAAGTGATAATATCTTCGTATATGAACTGAGCAATTGTTGTAGCCTTCATATTTGGTATGGCTCTAGCTTCTGGCTATTTGGTAAGGTATTCGGTGGCCACAATGATGTATCGGTTTTCTTTTAGAGTGATTTTGAGAGGTTCTACGATATCTATCCCAACACGGTCGAAGGGAGCACCCACAGGTATGGGATGTAATGATTCGTTCTTTCTTGCATGCCCTTGTCTTTGGCAAGTATCATATGTCTGAATGTATTGGGTTATACTTTTATACATTCTGGGCCAGTAAAACCGATCTCTGGCCTTGTTGTAGGTTCCTGTTATTCCAAAGTGTCTAGCAAGGACATTTGTGTGGAGGTTATACAAAATGGTTTCTAATTCGTGAGTTTGAATCACCTTGAGGGGAGTAGATTGAGTATCCTTTTTATTATTTCTTTTATATAATTGTTGATTTATTTGTATAAATTGACTTGCTTTTTGCTTAAATTGTTTTTGTTGGGTTGTAGTTAAGTGCAGGGGTATCAAAAGTGTTGTTAGGTAAGCTAAAATGTCCGAGTATTGTTTGGGGTCCATTTTTTTTTTGTAAATTTAATGGTGTGATTTTGTTATTAGAAAGATTCAAGACATCTGTCTTAATTAATTTTTTTTTTTTTTTTTTTTTTGTATGTATATGAACATCTACTTATTATTTTAATTTGCTTTCCCTTATAGTGGTTCAAAAGGGATTCTTGACAGGGCGTCGACGTACAGCCTTTCTGGTACACGACCTTATAGGTGTAATCGGCAATCCTAGCGATCCATCGGTATATTCTTTTATTTGGGTTGGGTTGATTAAGTAACCATTGGAAGGCCGAATAGTTAGTAACTAATTCAAAAGGATGCATATATATATATGGCCTAAAATACTCCATTCCCCAAACGGCTGCTAAGCATTTTATTTTTATAGGTGAGTAGTTGACTTCGGTGAGACCCAAGGTCCTACTTCATAGGCTATAACATGCTTATAGTTATCTATATCCTTCTGAGCCAATATGGCACCTAGACCTTGATATGAGGTGTTAGTATAAACGATGAAAGTTTGATCAAAATCCGGATATTGGAGGATGGGTGCCGTTGTCAGTCTTTCCTTAAGTAAGTCCATTGCTTGTTAACACGCCTGGGTCCAAATAAAAGGTGTGTTTTTCTTTAGGAGTCTATTTAAGGGCTTAACTATCCTAGCGAAGTTAGCAATGAAGCGCCTGTAGTATGATGATAGGTCTATAAAACTGCATATCTCAGTGGGGTTCCTAGAAGTAGGGAAATTTTGCACCTTGTTAATTTTTGCGGGGTTGGGTGTTACACCCTTTTCCCCTACAATATGACCCAGGAATGCTAGTTTCTTTTTAGCGAATTGACATTTGTCTCTTCCTAACTTCAACCCTGCTTGAGATAGCTACTGGAATACTTCTTTCAGATGTTGTAGGTGTTAGGTAAAGGTCGAAGAATGTATAGTGATGTCGTCCAGATAGACTAACATAAATTTTTCTTTTACATCCGCGAACAGATGGTCCATCACCCTTTGGAAAGTTGTGGAGGCATTGGTGAGTCCGAAGGGCATCACATTGAATTCGAAAAGCCCAAATTTTGTGATGAAGGCCGTCTTTTCATGGTCCTCTCGCCTAACATCAATCTGCCAGTACCCACTGGCCATATCTAACGTGGAAAACCACTTGGCTCCTTTTATGGCATCAAGGATTTTGTCGATTCTGGGTAAGGGATACACATCTCGCTTAGTAATTTTATTTAACTTTCAATAGTCTATACATAGTCTCATTTTTCTATTCTTTTTCTTGACTAATACCACTGGTGACGACCATGGGCTTTTGGACGGTGCTATTAACCCATGTTGAAGCATCGACTGTAATTCTTGTTGGATGAATTCATGTTCCGCGGAAGACATTTGGTAAGCCTTCTGATGTATGGGAGGTACGTGTTCGGTAATAATTTGATACTTATCTACATTTGTATGCCCCAAGTCGTGTAGTCCTTGCGAAAAGAGAGTCTTATGCTCCTTTAGAAAATTATCCAACTGTTCCTGTTGCTTCGTCGTTATCATGTTAGGTGGGTGTTTAATTTCACTTATATCTTCCTTTTCTGTAAAATATTGAATTACGTTCCTTATTTCTGAACATTTCTCACACCCTAATAGTGTCTTTGCACACCAACATTTTGTTACCTTCGGATTTAACGTCTTATCTATTTCTGGGTCATATCCTTTCACGATTATCTTTCCATAGGAGAATTTATTTGCCTCTATTTCTAAGATTGGTTTTTCTCTTATATTACCTAGTACCATGAATCCTTTTATTTCTTCCTGTTCTAATTCTTCCTCATATTCTTCTTCACTAGATAAATCTTCTGGTTCTTTCCGCCTATTATATTTTGGCTTAATAGCCATCTTGGTATTGAGGCTTTTCCCAGTAGGTAATAGGTATGGTATATGACTGATCATTCCATTCATACTTAAATTCTCCGGTTTTTAAATCAATAATTCCTTTTAACTTATTAATCCATTCTACACCAACTATTATGGCATATCCTTGGGTATTATTTACTTCTACATCCACCAGTATTTTCGTTTCATTTATTAATTGTACAGGAATTTGTTTAATTTGTCCTAGTGATCTTTTCTTTCCACCATTTATGTCTACTATGCTGCAATTAGAGGGATTTTCAATTTTTTATTTTAGTTTATCTGCGAATGCCTTTGACATTATGTTGCATATCGATCTGGTATCTAAAATAAGGTAAAAGGGTACGTCATCTACTTTGGCATTACAGTATACAATATCTACTGCATCTTGTTGTTTACTTTCGACCGTCGTTATTAATACTGGTATGTCTATTTTTTTTTTGCTTAAGTTTGTCATATTATTGTTATTGTCTTTTACCAGTAAGAGTTCTGGTTTTGATTCGTTTAACTCCGGGTTATGAAGGTTCAAGTGTTTAATCATTTGAATAGGGATAGGGAAGGGTGGATCATTCAATAAATTATGACTAGTATGGGGATTAGGTGAGCTTGAATTGATATGATTATTAGCTTCGATAAAAGGAAAAGCACTACCGCTCTCACGGCATGCCTTTATTAGTTTAAAAATTGGGCCGTAGTTCTAATGAGGTCCTGTAGGTCATCTCTAGTAAAAGTGAAGTAGGTAGGAGTATTGTGATTATTTGCTTGTTTCCTGCTGTTATCGTGATTTCTATTGTCATTGTTATTATTATTGTTGCCGTTGCCATGATTATCATTGCTGCCACCATGGTTGGTATTACCTCGATTGGGGTGGTTATTACTTTAATTATGGTTACTGCCATTATGATTACCATGATTATGATGGTTATAGTTATGGTTGGAATAGGTTGGTCGGTTTTGGTTGTTCCTAGGTGGGCCACTGTTTTGAGACGAAAATGGGGCCCGTTTCTCCTTGGCCTATTTGAACCCCGATAACCACCATTATGTGGTTGGTTAGAGAGACAATTCCTAGCTGAATGTCCTCTAGTATTACACCACTGACATACCAACAGGGGTATGCGGGTTGTGTTGGCATAGTGGGTATATTACCCAGATAAGATCTTTTCATAGCCTTGGCCAACTCTCCAATTTCCTTCCTTAGTTTCGTTAGTTCTGAATTTTCAGCCTCGCTCTCCCTATTTAGGTAGCTTCTCCTCAACGAGTATGAGCTGAGTGGAAAACCGCAGGAAAATGCAGCTTCAGCTGCTTTGGCCTTGGTAAGAGCTTGACCTAATGTAGTTGAGCAGGCTATTTCTACGGGCTCCTTTAATTCTTTCCGTAGGCTATCTATAAACTGGCATAACTTATCGGTAAGAGGGTATCATTCCTCTGGGTCAGCTTTTCGATAAAGATGGTCCAGGTCGGCATAGTATTCCTCTATAGTTTCTCCGGGCTGTTGTCTCGATTTCTTAGGTCAGTTATCCATCGAGACTTTTGGTGTAGGGTGCAGAATTGCTTTTTGAAGAGGTGCACGAAAGAATGATTATGTCTACGGCTCTCCCAGTGCCTAACTTGTTCAGATATCTTCTTCCACCAACTATTGGCAGGTCCCTTCAAATAGGTAGGTAAAATAGTTATTATCTTTTTTTTATTAATATTATTGGCTTGATAGGCGTCCTTATATTCTTCTATCTAGCGGAGAGGATCTTGCTTACCTCCCTTGAAAGTGAGAATTTTAACTAGCTATGTTTCCCTATTAGTGCTCCTATTACTACCCTTTTCCATGGCTTGTATTAGTCTATTAAAATAGTACAACATTTGCTGTACCGGAAGTTCTAAAGGTATAGTTTCTGGAGGAATGCCTCTTAGGTCGACATGAGGCTGTTGAGGTAGGGGACTTGCCTTGCCACCAATGTGGTCGTCATTATTATTGCTTGTCCCATTATTATTATTGCTATTGTTATTTTGATTATTATCCAGTGTAACTGGGGCTCTAGATAGCGTAAGTTGGTCCTGATTGGGCCAATGGATAGAGTCGGCCCGTGGGAACCGATTTGTGATTCCAACTCCAGTGCTGGTGCCAACGCCGATACCATTGTCTTCTTCATCAGTATCGGTAACTACTCTTTGCAAGGGGGCGTATCTTCTTCGTCTCCTTCCCTCATTACTCCCAGAGGGAATGTAGAGTCTATCTGACTCTTCTCCGGAGTTGTATTTGTCTTCGGAGTATCGTGGGGTGCGATAGTTATAGAGTTGATACTGCATTCTATCTCCATTCCAAGGGTCAACGTCTTCTATTTTGGCGGTGTCTTGCAGATATTTTGTTTTGGTGCTAGAGCTTTCAGCAAGCGAGAAAGTAATGGGTGACCGGGTTTGTGCAAACAAGGTATCATGTCTTCCAAAATTCGGATTCTGGGTAGAGTTTGGCTCATCCACTAGCGTAAATTGACGAACCCTTGAGCTTGCTTCAATTGGGTTTGAATAAAGTCCACTTGTTCTAAGGTTCATCTAGTGATGACAAAAGAGCCGTCCTCCTGTTCACAAGAATCTATAAGTACGTCTAGTCATTTATTGAGGCTATATTCATACCAAATAGCCTTATGAACGAGTTTAGTTAGAAATGGGTCGGAGAGATTGTTTGGTTCCAAAGTTTTGTTGTTTGTTTTAGTTAGTTGTCTATCGCTATGATTCATTAAATTTTTATTCCTTTTAGGAAAACAGATTCTGTTGTTGTGGCCAAATGTCATATAAATTCTGAATATTCTATCGAGAATATCGGGAATTATGGTAGACTAGTGCTGGAGAGACAGTATTTAAAAAGGAATTAGGTAAGTTGGGCGGTTTAATTGTGGATGAATTTTAATAATTAGAGTAGTTTGTATGAATTTTATTATATATTAAAACGAGATTGAGCAGGAATGTCTCTTCAAAGAGTGAAAAGACTTCCTTAAATACATTCGTTTTTCCTGCATCACTGCAGGCTTGATAGATGGTATGGATCGCAGCTAGGTCATCTAGTCTGCATAGACAGCTTGTTTTATAGGTCGCAGAGAATGCATAAACGGCTATGCATCCCGGGTTATCATGGTGCATGATCATGTGCATCATGTAATGATCTCGTAACCATGAATGCGACATTGCTATCTACCTACTCTAATCTATCTATATATATATTTAACTATTCTAAATACTAGCCTATTCTACTCTATATACGTACATATCTAATTGTAAACATAATAAATAAAATAAATAAATAAATAAATAACTATAACAAATACTTAAAGAAATAAATAAAGCAAATGATAGTACTAAATAAATAAATAAATAAATAGATAGCTACAACCTATATTATAACTCAGAAAGAATCAATAAGACTTAAATAATAAAAAAAAATATAACTAACTAACTAACTAACTAGTGTAATAATATATAATGATATATGATCGTTTTACTATTATAAGAAAATATTTAATTTCGTCACAACACCAAAGGTTTCTAGTGCTTTGTCAAAAGCAAAATAATGACCTTCTTGTGTCAAATTGATTGAAAATACTGTTTGAAATTCTTGAAGGAATTGTAGTTCTCTTTTAAGGTTTGACAAAAATTGTGCCATGGATTCAGAATATCTATATTTTTTTGTCCTAGAGAATAAAAAAGCAAATGCTATCAAGCTATAAATTTGCAAATTAAAATTTGCTATATGAATTTCAAGATTGTATAATTTCAAGTACCTAGCCTATTAGTAAAAATTATACTATGTTTTTAATAATTTATTGTCTTCTTTAAAAATATTATTAATACAGTAGAAATATCTTTTTTTTCAGTATATAGATGAATTGCAACCCCAACAGCTATCTAGATAAGCTCAAGTACTCGAAATATTGACTAGTAGTTAGCGATTTGTACAAGCCTGTCAAGAAATCTAGCACCAAGCTGTGTAGCAAGCCCAAAAAGTCCATATTCCAAAAAGGTAGCAATAAGCATGCTATATATCACTTTGTTCATATGCTATTGTGCTAAAATACAATGTGCTGCTTGCTCTTTATTATTGTAGTTATACATTCGACAGTAGATTACTTCATTACAAACTAAATTCAGCATACTATTTTCTATATATCCAAAGTTCTCTAGAAATATATTAACTGCACAATAGATATATTCATTCTTGCTTAAAGCTTTACCTGGTTGGAAAATACTACATTTGGAGAAGATACGAATAATGCTGAGTCAATGTGTTTTCTAATAGCTGTATTAACATCTTTAGCATTAAATGATAGCTTTTTTTTAATTAGTTAAATAAATATAGAATCTAATTTTTTTGCCATTCTTCTATAATAGGGCTTACACCAAAGAGGTTTTGATTTCCCAATAACTTATTATTTGAATTGACAATCTCTAAATGTTGAAACTAAAAGACTATTTACAATGTTACATATATAGTAGCACAAACTACATCATAAATGTTGCTATATTGAAAAGTAGTATTCTTTGTGTCAATGTTATCTATAACTGCAATATTTAAAATATTTGGATACAAGTCAAGCCTTGTTCAAGAATCTATAACTAATATCTTTTTTTTTTAAACACACACCTCATGATTTCTAATATATAAAACTGTATTAATTTTATAAAAAATTTTATGAAG